ATCAGTTTAGACAAAAATTTGGCGACAGATTCGATATATACTTGTCCCATCAAACAATAAAGAAAAGCTGCGATCGTTAGGTCCAGAAATTTCTCAAGCATACGCAAATGGAACTATCAGGTAAAAGCAAGCTAATAGAGTAACTAACTGAATATATCATCCTCTCACAGTTTTGCTGCTTTGACGTTCACGATGAGGGATGATCTCCTTTCTCAATTTATCAATGAACCAGAGGCTATACTCTATGCCCTCTATCTGGGTCCGCTAGGTGCGCCGACAGTTGAGGTTTATTTACACTTTCTTGAAATTTCTTTTTTCTTTCTCGTGATTTGATCAAGCGGCTCACTTTTAAATTCACTGTTTTATATCAGAATTTTTAGGCTTTTGCTTCCGGGAGAAGTGCAGACTTTCGTAAGCAGTGTCGTGCTGTATTAGCAAATGTGGAAGAGGCGATGAGGACTTCTGAGGAGTTCAGGTTGACCGGCAAGCCATCACATGTATGTAAAACTACAAATTTTCTTTGATTGCAGCGCCAGAAAACCTTCACGAATTAGCAATGATAATCCGGAGTTGTGCACTTATCAAATATTTCGAAGAAATGCGCAGGCTCTAATGCGAGATTTGAGAGGAGGTTTGTAGCATTACTTTTATCTTTTTTTCTTAGTCATTTGTCAAATTTTAGTTGTTATTTCTCTCTCCCATCGTAACAATTTAAAAGGTTTTTTTTTCTTTTTTTTTGCCGTATTGGTTTTCTACAACGTCTTTTTATAAATTTAAAATACCAGAATGACTAGTAACGAAATCTCTTTAGCTACAAACATTTGCAATACTAAAACTAAACATCAACAATCCTCGCATTTTATTCTTTGAGCCTAATTTCGAAACTCGGATACTTGTTACTTTAAGAAATTAATCCAAATAACACGCAAACCCAATTTTCTTCGCTTTGATAAAAATTGCCAGCCCAGAAAGCAGGTTGTTGGTCAAAGCAAAGTACGTCTGAGAGCAGTGAATTAGAGAAGCCAGTTTAGTACAGGAAATTATCTTTTTGGATAACCAACTTCTCCGAGGGTTAAGCATAAATAAACATGGGGTAGCGTTGCTTTTTTGAAACAATGATATTCGCTCTTTTTATCGATCTAGGTTCGTAGCGCGCAACATCTCCAGAATGTTTTTATGCTATATTGGGTAGGGTCCAAACTTTGTATTGTGTCTATTTAAAATAAATTTGAAGCATATAGTTCTTTCACCTAGAGATTGATGTTTCTTCCGAATTTGAGATTTTCCATACTAACCTTAAGCTTGATTCTGTATAAAACGCTATACACTTCACGTCAGATTTGTTTCCAGTAATTTTTATCACTTGCTTTTTTCGAACGCTTCGCGGAATCGTTGCTATTGCAGTTCCACTAATCTTTCTAAGAAAACGATACAGCCAGATCTGGAAGATTGAAAGTGTGGCTATATAATTTTTTCACGGGAACTTTTTTTGTGTGAAAAAGTTAGCATAACATCTTTTAAAGAGCTGTTCTCTCAGCCGAAAGAATAAGGTTTACAGTAAGATGTTATTGCTAACTAATTCTGTATAAGAGATATCAGCAATTAGTCAAAAACGTTGTATTCAAAAAAATTTTTCGACTGAAATACATTACGGTTGAATTTCTAGGAACTTTAACCCATCTGGGCTGTTGTTCTTCGGCGCAAATTTATACCATCAAGAAGCTTTGAAACTTTCCAGAAACTGTGAAGCTGCAAAAATAGGTGTACCCAAGCTTTTAAATTGCGTTGTAGATTAAAGCAGTCTAGTGGTCATTTCGCAGTAATTTCGTTGTATTGAAAGACGCTCGCTTGTCGCTGCATAACGGTCTCTCTGGAACAAATCAAACACAACTATACATATACTTTCAAATATGAAAATAATGCTCAAACGCCATGCAAAAATCTTTAAAAAGAGTCCAGCATACCATTTGAAGCCCACTTATACAGCGTAGAATGAGAGCATGACAAATGCTTACGTGTGAAGTTCAATCTGTGTATGTCCTTAACCAGTCAGCTACGATTTAACCACACTTGAATTCTCGATAGTTGTTATATGAATAGTTTGCAATTTTCGGTGTAACTATGTTTTAAGGCAGCAGTGGCACAGTTTCTCTCTTTTTCCCTTTTTTTCTAGTTTGGTGAAAATCAAATCAAATTGCTTAAACATCGTTTAAGCTTATAAGCTCCATTTCATCCAAGCTACTCCTCCTCTTAGTGGTACTACTATATTCTTAACTTTCACTTTGATTTTTTTTTGATTTTCAGAAGTAAGAACCGACGGTAGCATTCCGATGGGATGGGCATGTGCTGCCTTGAAGAAATTTGCAAAGAAGACATACGTAGACAGGGTCTGTAAGCTCCTCGATCGGTTCATTAATGCCTATCATCGAGCTGAATACATGTCTGTTTAGACTTGGAAAGAAGAGAATTTATATGAGTTAATATGGACAATCATGTGCCAACGTCCAAATTTGAAGAAGTGCGAATTGTATAATTTTACAATCAAATCTTTTGGCAATTC